AATTATTAAACAACTAATATTTTTTTGTAATGTATTGAACACAATAGTAAGACAATAATTGTTTCGCTATGACGTCAAATAGCTTAATTATCAAGAATGGACTTCGTTTGATATCAGCAAGGGATTTAAATTATTTCAGTGCTGTAAATTAACTTTCCAAACTAAGACTAATGTACGCAAAGCTCCGAACAGCATTAATAGCAATGATGTCGCCGTTCGGTCCAGACGCGTGAATTATCAGTTTTAACTCTCCAAAGAGTAATACAACGTTAATCATTGTTAATTTCCCCAAAGAGTATTGTGATTGGACACCTTCTGGATAAGTTACTAACCGTTTGTAAGTGTTAAATTATGACGGTCATGGAACCACATCACAACAAACCTATGGACCATGCGAATCCCAATTCGACTTATTCAAAATGAGTTAGTTTTACAAATGATGTATGGGGTTTTATCTAGTCTTTAACGTATGAAACTATTTTATGGTCTCAATAAAAACACTGACGCTCGTCAGATTAAATTTTTTCTGGTATGTAAGCAATGAATCTTATTCTATTCTAGTTATATGTTCGATATAAGTAAGTAAAAATTAAGCTTACTCCGAATCCAATGTAGAATAAAATAAAACTGCTATTTTTTATAGTTACGCAAATTTACATAAGTAATCATCTTTGCTGTACTAGTTGATGTATTTTCATAAATCGCTGTACGTATCAGACTTGTCTTCTAGTATATGAAAAGAGATTAAGCGATTTTAAAAGCAATTAATGAAGTGTTAAACGATGTCAATTAGAGTCGCATTCGGACATCCTCTTAACTGACAAGACTCTTTACTGACAATAGAAATAAAAGCTTTACACGAATTTTGTCTACAAGTGTTTTAATTTAATTGGCGCTTATCTACAATGTATTATTTAGCTAGATCGTTTAAAAGATTTTATTGGAAACAACGAGTACAGTTTAAAAATTAATTTAAATTATTTAACTCGTCCCTTCTTGAAAAAAACCTCTCTATGCTAATAAGGGTAACCTAATTTTTGAACTTTGGTACTTCTTTTGAAACTGTGTACAATTAGATCTGAGCAATTGATACAAACCAGTTGTATCCAATAAATAGCTAAATTGTTACAAATCAGAGTTTACCTAATAGGTTTTATTTCTGGGTACAGAATTTGGTTCTCTTGTCCCTTTCATTCAAGACTAATTGCTTTGTAGTACCGTTTGAAGACGAACCTAATTTCCTTCTAGATTAGTTTAATAGTTTTAATAGTAAACAATGTAAATTACATTGTAAATTACATTTTTTTACAAAAAAGAAAAAAAAGAAAAAATTAATTTTAAAGAACCCATTTTTATTGATCTATCCCCAATCCAGTGTTAACAGTAAACAACTCAATACTTTCGTCCGTGGTTTTGTCACATCCATCTCAGATCTAACAGGTGTTTGTCTCTACACAACCTGGGTGTGTTCTTCAATGTTCATTGGTGTGTTCTACAATGTATTATGGTGTGTTCTACAATGTATTATGGTGTGTTCTACAATGTATTATAATGTGATCTACAATGTATTATAATGTGATCTACAATGTATTATGGTGTGTTCTACAATATACAAAGATGTGTTCTACAATGCATTATGGTGTGTTCTACAATGCACAGTGTGTCGTCTACAGCCTAGGAGGATTAAAAAAAAGTCTACAGCGGTGTGTGCAGTATTTTACGTTGGTCGAGAGCACGTACACTATATTACAATAACTGGACCCAGCACAGCTACATGACACTGTCCCGGGACTTATTAACAATTAGCGCTGAGTTCTGCCAGCTGGTTAACCAACTATGTTCATTCACGTGATACATTAACTAGTTTTAGAGCATGTGGTTTTCTACTAGTTTCTTTAGAGGTTAGGTAAATGAAAATACAAGACAAGAGAAAATATAGAGTTACCATTATCACAAATCAGTATGTTTTATTGTATAGTACCACGTGAAATCTCAATAATTCTAAGGTATCTCATTTTTAGTGATGAGGAACCATTAATATATTCAGAATATTATCTCATCTTAAAAAAGTTTCTTACAATACACTTTGAAAAATAGTAGGTCTAATTTGATTTTAAAACCTATTTACATGCACGACGCTTTCATATTTATTATTACGTAATGTTTTAATAGGTAATAATATTCTTGCCTTTGTAAGCTTCAACGGGCTATAATTTTATGTTTTGTAGTTATATCCCGTTGGAAAGTACGGGTGATATAACATCAACATGCTACCTGCCTGTATAAACTATACTGTTTATAACATCATTGTTAAGCTCAGTAAAAGCTCCATTTAAAACCAAACAACCCATTCTACTTCACTATACATTTCCGTAGTCACGTGAACTTCTGTACTAAAGTGTAAGTGTAAAGAAAGGACGGGACCGATGAAAGTCCACTAGTGGCGCTAGTGTCCGGTGTAAACGAAAGTGTAATTAGCATTAGCATGTAATTCGATCCTGGACGGGTTATGTCAATGAAACTGGAACCACGGAGCCTCGTCCCACTACTTTCACTCTCTACACACTCTTGCTTTCGTGTTTTTATAATCGTTTTGCGAGGTAAAAGGTGGAAATTTATATTTTTGTTGTAGGAGAAATTATGGATAAAGTTGATATGGATAAAGTTGATTTAACTGATACGAAATTTTTGACTGCATTGTAAGTCAAGTAGATTATTTTATGTTTTTTATTGGACACCGTTTTGTTCATTAGGTATTTACGTGGCTGTATCTCGCATACACATACATTTGCAAGTTGGGTGGTGTTGGTCTAGTTATTAAAGTTCGGGAATCCTGTCCTGGAGGCCTAGAATCAAACCCGGCTAGTCACAAATTAACCTTTTTTTTAGATATGTGATGATTGCATTACCCGGTGATACATATTTACAGCCCATCTGAAGCTGTTGATATCCCATCTACAAAACAATAAAGGGTAAATGTTTCAGGCGAGGATGTCCTGATAACTTTTTGGAGATACAGTATTCTACATTTTGATGCACATACACATACGATAACAACAATAACATATCTCTTCAGTCAACACATATAATATTTCCACTTTACGTTCATTATCGTCTGTTATTATTTATTGATTACACCCAGAGTCTAGTCGTCATAAGAAATTAAATATTTCTTATGAGAACACTTTACCTAATGGAAACAACACACATACACAATATGATTCGCATATTTTATCTCCAACACTCATTAATATATTTAAAGTGGCCAAAACGTGTTTTGTTTGTAATGTTTCCTCTCACTCTGTATTGATCTGATGATGTTTGATTTTTGATACATTGCACATAGATAAACACTCCCCTTTGTGGATTAGTACTTCACTGTACCATTGACTATTGGGATGTCAAAGATTGTATAGTGTAATACTGCAAAAGTGCAATTAATAATAATCTTTAGACCTTTTTAGGAATAAAAAATACATCCACATTGAATAGGAAATACAGATAGAGAAAATGTTAAGGGTATAAATAAATGTGTTATGTGTTAGTCTGCATTATGTACTAATTAAAAAATACAAATAATTAATCACAACACGTCACCGCTGTAAGATTAAACAGCCAGGGTTCTCAAATCATCCCCGTGAACCAACAACCCTCCTTGTTAGGGGCTAATGCCGTTAGCGGCGCAGACGTGACGAGAAATAACAAATCAGTGGAATAAGACGTCACCAGCTGTAATAAAGGGTTGGGGTTGACGCGTGCAGTCAGGGGAGGTTGGTACCTAAGGCTGACTGGGAAAAATGAATTAGAGTTCTCTATTTCATTAACTTGTCGTACAGTTGGAGTGATTTTTAAGTGGGTGTAATTGTCTTCATACTACAATGACATAGATGGTGTGTAAATACATATATTTTTAGTTCCCCAAGTACGCATTTTTGAAAAATTTTTAAAATAAATACTTAAGTACAAATAGTGCAGGAGTCGATGATAGTGACGATGAACATGTTAGATAAGTCTGTATTTTGACAGTCAACAATTTTCATGGGGTTTGGATAGTAAATTAGGGCATATTGTTAAATTCATTCTATCACCGTTTAGCTTATAGCCAGACACTAAAATAAAAAAAAAAAACATCCCAGAGGAACGCTTCTTATGAAAGTGACGAAAGCCTAGTAGTAAAGGGGGCGAAAAATAGTTCTTTACCGGATTAAAGATTGTTTTGTAACATGATAGGTGGGACAGTAGAGGAGTAGTGGAGAAAGGTTTATCCCTAGGTAGTTTATTGTTTCTAATATTCACTGGTATCTGACCACGGAGAGGTGCAACAGACCATCAAGAAGGGTCTGCTCTGGCAGCAGAGAGAGAGTGAGAGAGAGAGAGAGAGAGAGACTTTTCTCTATGTGGAAGGAGAGATACTTCATATGACAACCACGGAGAGATGCACACGCCATCAAGAAGGGCCTACTCTGGCAGCAGAGAGAGAGAGACTCTTCTCTAGATGGAAGGAGAGATACCTTTTATGACAAGAGATTATCTTCTCCTTATATATTTTTCTGTTGCAGTCACTGGTATCTGACCACGGAGAGATGCAACACGTCATCAAGAAGGGTCTGCTCTGGCAGCAGAGAGAGAGACTCTTCTCTAGATGGAAGGAGAGATACTTCATATGACAAGAGATTATCTTCTCATTATATATTTTTCTGTTGCAGTCACTGGTATCTGACCACGGAGAGATGCAACACGCCATCAAGAAGGGCCTGCTCTGGCAGCAGAGAGAGAGACTCTTCTCTAGATGGAAGGAGAGATACTTCATATGACAAGAGATTATCTTCTCATTATATATTTTTATGTTGCAGTCACTGGTATCTGACCACGGAGAGATGCAACACGCCATCAAGAATGGTCTGCTCTGGCAGCAGAGAGAGAGACTCTTCTCTAGATGGAAGGAGAGATACTTCATATGACAAGAGATTATCTTCTCATCATCTATGTTTCTGTTGCAGTCACTGGTATCTGACCACGGAGAGATGCAACACGCCATCAAGAAAGGTCTGCTCTGGCAGCAGAGAGAGAGACTCTTCTCTAGATGGAAGGAGAGATACTTCATATTGACAAGAGATTATCTTCATTGCTTCAAACGCTCCACCGGCACAGATAAAATCTCCGACATGGGACAGTTTATCTTCAAGGTGAGTAATTTATTCCGTTAGTAAAATTGTTGTGCAGAATGCTGTGTAAACTCTCTTATAAAACACGATGATATCATAACGGCACATCAGCTGTCAAAGCTGGGGAATCACACACGTGGGATACTGTGTAGTTTGGTCATCAAAAGAAGTCATTAAGCATCACACAGGGAACACGTGTAGCTTCGCAAATAACTCAGTTGTTCTTCTTTTCCTCGGTGTTTATTGTTTGGTGACATTTTTACAGGGGATATTTTACATGTCCAGTGCGGCTCAAATCCATATTATGTGGTTGTACCGTTTCCTCTTTACTAGGTTTATTTCTTTATTGGATTGGTGGAAACATTTATTGTCATAAATTGCTCGATTTGCGTTTTTTCCAGAACTCTCTTGGCTTAAAAGCTATAAATTTTAAATTTACAAAAACTTTAATACAATTTTATGCATACATAAAATATCAAACATTATTAATTAGTTAAGGTTCAACCACAGGATTAGTCTTTATAAAACTATTAGTCGATGTTTAAGAAATTACCCACAATCCATTTTACAGTTATAGAGATACTGTATTCCCTGTTACGTATATTTTACATTCAACTTTTAATTTTCCCATCTCATGCTAGAATCTTGTCTAGTTAGTGTCTTTATACTGTTCCTTGCTCCAAGACCGCCCTCCCTAATTTCCTCACAACAAAAGACGTTTTCTTCGATTTCCATTCACAAAGCCCCAGCGTAGGCAGACATGCATTGTTACTTTCGTATCCGGATTTTGTCATTACGTTGTTCCACATTGTTAAAGTTTTCCTACTTACGACTTAATCAAGAAGCATAGGATTGTATTTTTGTTCAGATCTTTGCTTTGTACAATGGCAGTGTACCACATTTTAATACGTTACGTAAATGTGCTGCACCATTTACGGTTGATTTGTTGGAAATATACTAAAATAGCCTAGGTGGATTGAGGTATTGAATGATAAAAATAATAAACATTCTCTTTAAGATACGAATTCAACTATGCCCTTTTAGATTTTTTATGTGTATAAAATGGTTTTTTTTTATTGGTGTGATTCGATGATTTTTTAACGTTTACTACGAACGAGAATGTATGATTAGGCAATTCAGAAAGATCAAATTTGAATCAGCAATGTCATAACTATTAAATAATAATTAAACATTCGGTTTCATTTTGAAAATAGATTGTGATTTTATAAAAGAAATGCTAAAATATCTTTAACATTATTAAAAGTTTTGAGGTTACATTAGTTTTACATGTTATCTGAGTGACTAACGAATGTTATATTTTTATTAAAAATACCCACCATAACACTGAATAAAACTTGAACCATATCAGGGATTTATCAAGCCCGAAAGTGAAATAAAACATTAATTCATTTTGATTTATATTTTAAAAGAGTTCCGCTGGGTACCATCGGGTCAGACTAATTGTCAGTGAGGTATGAATGGTTTAAATGATTGATGGAACTGTCAGCTGGTTGCATTGTTGTGAATCTCCACAATCCTCTTCGCTCATTGGTCGATCTCCGATGTGACGTAATTCCGTTCAACAATACCGCACGCTGATTGGATGACGTGTCGTTGAGTGACGTCATCGTTTAGGTACTTCATGCCATCCGCATTCTGTTCAATTATCACCTGGTTCTATGTTGAAACAAAGGAATCCTTGGAGTTACGCGGATTGTTATGTCTCCAGTGTGGTGATTTACCGAATTAAGCTTACGATTCGCATACGCTTAAAAATAACATGTATACAGTAATATGTTTTGTTTCGATTTTTGAATCAATTATCTGTATTGGTGTACACAATTCCTCTCCTCTTAAGCTATTGACGAACTTTAATGTGAACCTTTTTTGACGATGCTGATCAAGAAGTTATCTACTGTTTACATTAAAATATATTAATAACATAATTTTCATAACTTACGGTTATAGAATGTTTCCATAATCAATGACATAAATAAACCTCCCACATATTTGTGTAAAGTATTTTATTTTATTTGTTTGTGTTGTTATTTGTTTGGATCAGCTGTCTAAAATTGTGAAAATAAGCATTTAGAAGTTCTGGCTAACATTGTGGATTTTCTCATGCTTCCATCGAGACCAACTATTAATATTTTCTTTTGAAACCCTAACCTCAAATCCTTGGACATCCAAGGGGCGTAGGCCAGGAGGAACTCAGAGAAGTGAATAGTCCTATGACATTTCTAGATATCTGGACAATTTGTGTACTTAATTTTGGCTGTATCGGTTTAGTATTTAAGTCGTGGCAGCCGGACAGACAGACACCACCTCAATTTTATAATAGTATAGATTAGAGATATGCTGAAACTGAACATTTTCAATGACCAAAATTTCCCAACAAAACTCAAATTAAACAAATCTTTTATGTTTGTCGTAGATAACATGCAATGTATAAAAACCAGCGTTTTTTGTTTCCTTTCAAACCCAATTGCCCTGATATTCCCTAAAAACAGTAGAAACAGTATTTCAGGCGTTTTTTTTTTTTTTAGATTTAACGTAAATTTGTCTAAGCAAAAATCATAATATTAGTTTTACTCTGCATGTAAACAAAATGACCTCAATTTTAGCCATAAGTAAACAAGGCAGCGCGGCGCTGAGCCAATGTTTACCATTACAACACCGCGGCATTGTGGCTTTTTGGCGCCTTTTTATGCACTTTGCCCCCGTGGCGCGCCAAAAATAACACCGGCTCGACGGCGCGGCACTGCTGGGGCCCCTGTTGATCGTAACTTGGATGTAATTTTAACATTTGTTAAAAAAAAGTTAACGTTGGTACGCATCATAATTTAGTTTTTAGGTGATAATAGTATATTCTAATTATGAAAAGACTATCAAAGTACATAAAAAAGATTGTTTTAGGTTTTGATAACTATTGCCATTAATTGCTATGTAGCGATTTTAATCATCGTTTTTTTTTTGTATATCGTACATACTGTAGAAAATATGTAACAAGACAGAAAATATACTAGAGTTATCATTTCATAAAATATTCGCTAAACTATTTCTGATTACGTTTAAACAATATTCTTAAATAAACTATCTCTTTCAGTATCAACTATTTGAGACCGTACACACTGCACATATACCTCTGAGGGCTATAAAGAAACTCATTTCCAATGTTCTTCCTTTCATAAAAATAACATAAGTTTTGCGTTTCTTTTATAATGAAGGTTATGCGATTTCATATTATTGCGTAATTATTTCCAAATCACTTCAGATTATTTATGGATTAGTCTTTATTTAAATATCTATTTCGTGTGCTTGTGTATGTTGTAGATGTTTTTAAACTGTCCAATGAGTGTTTGCCATTAATTACAATTGTATTTTAAAAACGTATTATACAAATGTAACAAATAATAATTGGGTTTGTTAAAAGTAACACAATATTGCCAGACAAAGAATATCGTGTCACATGACATACGTTACCCGATTTAGGATTTAAAATCTCCTCACAATTTGGATCAAGGAGATCAACACAACAAGCCCGGATGATGATTACAACGCAAAGGACAGACCACGGGTCGTCATAATCCGAGGTTTGGGATATTTCATAACATGATTGAGGATCATTGACTATTGAAGGCTGGGATTTGTCCACGTATTTGAAAATAGAGGTGGAAGGTTAACATGAAGACATCTTACCTTGAAACTCACTTGGTCAAACTTACAATACTAAATATTACTAGGAATTTTTAAACATGAGTTATTTTTTTCTATAATTTGTGTGAATTTATTTAAAATTAATATTCAGCAAAATAATTTATTGTTTAGTTGAAATAACAATAAGAATGAGACAAAATGTTAGTTGAGTCATAAACAGCACAGAGTATAACGTAGTTTATAATAGAGATGACTTTTTAATCATTGGAAAATAAACTACGTCAAAGGCCTAACTTTTTAAGTTGACGTCATACTAAATACTATTTTTGACACTGAAATATAAAGATCAAATAAATAATGAATAAATGCACGGTAATACATTATGTGCAGATATAGTTTCAGATCAAATATTCAAGGTATAAATCACTGAGAAACAGATTGCGAGTCAACTTTCATTCCATGCTACGTCGAGTTACCAGTTAGTCAGGTAAAGCCCCCGTACCCCCCCCCCCTGTCCACCCCCCTGTCACACCCCCCTGTCACACCCCCCTGTCACACCCCCCTGTCACACCCCCCTGTCACACCCCCCTGTCACACTCCCCTGTCACACCCCCCAAGTCACGCCTGACTTGACATCGTCTTGTCCTCACAGCTGACGACTTGATCGGCTAACTCCTCAAATCCCCTGAAATCTCCCAAAACTCTTCCTCTTTCGAAGTATAATCGATTTTATAAAGTTCCAGCCACTTTCCCTGCTTGTCATGCTTGTGTTTTTATCACTTTTTCCGGAATTTATTCAATAAAGGTAATGTAGTAGTTTAATATCCTGCGTTTTGTTTATTGGTAATGATGGTAAGTTGATGGCGAATTAAAAAATCATCGCTCACATTTCCTTTTATATATGGATTTAGAACCTTTTGACAACTAACACAAATTTATACACTTTTAATTCTTTAAAACCGGATTAAGTTTTTTTAAAAGAGGCATGATTATATGTCTTTTTCGCATTACTTCAGGCTACGGGCCGCCCAACTATCACTTTGATAAAATCCATTGATTTGCAGGATTTGAGTCAGGGACCAACTTGCTTACCAAAAGAGACACATTGTAATATGATGTACTAATTCTTCCATCCCAAATGGGTTGGAATGTGGCTCATCACATCTTCAAGCTCACTGTTAACATCTATTCACCAAATGTCCAAGCTTAAAACGCTTAAATCAGAATACTATTTTAGTTTTCGTGTTTAAGCAAAATTCACAGTCACACATGACTGCAAAGTCACTTAGCTGTCTCACCATATCGCAATATACATTTTTTATACCTGTCGACATATGTTTCAACAATTCACTTCTCAGCAGTCCACACATGTACTGTGAGGCCACAAATCTGAGTTTGGCGGGATGGTCTCCACAAATCAGCTGATCGGTATTCACCCCCGGTCCCAAGGACAATCTCTCACCATATAGACCTCATGTTTATTTGAAAGGTCGTCTCTATTTTTGGCGCCAGCCTCAATGCCTTATCCCTGTTGAATGTTAGTGTAAACAAACAATTAATTGTTAACGACATGTGTACAACTAAGCTGCTTTGTTAACTAATTCATTTAGATATTTGAATATCTAAAATTAAATGTTTAAAAGATTTATTGAGATAGCTAATTGTAAAATGTAAAGTAGACTATCAATATAAGTTTATAACTAACTCTTGTTTGATTAACTGTTGCACCCTACTTAAGACTCTGTTGTTAAAATATTCTTTGTAACGAGGATTATTATTAATGAGTTGCTCACTACAGTTTCAAATATGCTCTTTTTTCTTCGCTGTACTTATCTTTTCTCATTCTCTTACTTTCTTTAACCTTGGTTATTTCGGTTCACATAGGTATCTGGCCTGTGTGTAGAACGTATCCACCGAACCAAGGGGTTAGCTGGTAGAGCACAACAATGAATTGTACTGATAATTGAATTGCATTTTACTAATTGTATTTTAATTGCGAGACCAGGATTCGACCGTCGTGCTACCAAATGAGCCCCATCGACTTTGTAAAAAGATATCACATGACAAATACAATTATAATTATATGTACTGTGATGGATATTGTAATGTATAATGTTTATATACGATGATTATGTTGTGCAGGTGAAGCTGGTGGAAGTCGAGAAGGTGGAGTGGATCAACAAGAAGTCGTACAGCACGGTAGGCATCACCCTGCAGAACAGGGAGACCAAGATATTGCTGAGAGCTCCGATGGGCTTGGAGGACTGGTTCGAACTGTTGGAGGTGAGTTTCCCATAATACCCAACAACAACAAAACAAACACAAAAACAATACAATACAACAATAACAAAATGTGTTATTGTTTCTTAGTGTTGGTGTATACTTTATTATTGCAGTAGGTAAATTTTTAGTCTAATACTGATGTTGGCTAGGAAGTGTTTTGAGCTTTCTTGAAACTAACTGATTCCTAGAGTGGATCGTGAAATATTTAATATTTGTTTCTAATGTTTGAATCGTTTATTTAAAATGAAGTGTTATCGGGTAACCTCTTTACACTAAAATATCAACCAGTTGATTTGCATAACGAATACTAAATATTTGAGCGACGGTTAAGTATTAAATTAAAAGCTTTATCTATTAGTAAATGCAATTACTTTTTTAAATAACTTAAGGTTAAATGTTAACGTTTTACATAGTAGTTTGATTAATATCACACTCCAAATTTAGTACAAGCATTAAGCTAACTCTATTATTTTCTGTAAATGTATTTCTGTTTAAACTTGGTACCGTATTTAATTAAAATATCCTTACTAACAATCTCTTTACTACCCCTACAATATCAATTGAGATCGTATAGAGCTGAAACTATTTATTACTGCATACATTCTTATTCGTGTCGAACCAAGATAGTAATCTAACTGTATATTACAATAGGTTTTTATCTTAAAATTGTTATTAAAATACAACTCATACAGTATTAACTATAATCCAAAGATAGGTTCATAACTAATACTAAACCAAGTGTTGCTGTGATTGTTGTAATAGGCGTGTAATAGCATTTATCCTAAATTACATTTCCTGGTTTCGTCATCGCCGATACCAGACTATTGTTGGTCTACTTTTAGGATAAGTTTCCCAATAGTAACAAATCTGCCCAGGCCCCAGGCTGGGTGGAGGCGGATCATTATGTAATGGGCAGTTACTTATGGACCACCAAACACCTGCTTCCCCTGTGCACGCTTTTGTGATTATCTTAATTGCTGAGGTAAACTACTCGATAGGAAATAGTGCGCAGAGTATAAGACTGTTTGGAATATTCCAAAGAAAAATATAGAAAGACTATCAGATTCATGTAATGCATTCCTAATAATATCAATTAATGTGTAAATTTATAAAAGTGGGTTTCTTTTAGTGGCTTAAGGCTACGATTTTGAGTGTTCATATTTCTTAATGTGGAATTATAAACCACATTTTCATGTATGGAGAAATAATTACTTTTTACAGATATTGTAAATAAGTTAATACATTTAAAAAACGGCATGTAAAGTTATAGACGCCCGTTAACTATTAGACACGTTGGTCTCGATCATTCTGATCATTCTTGGCCGTATTTCATGTAAAAAATTGCATTTTATGTTGGGTAAATAACATTTACTTCAGATCTATACAAAATATTAATTTTAAAATATTATTTGTCTAAAATTTAGGTAATTTAAACTTTAACTTAGATAAATGTTTAAATGGGGACTTCTATAATAACCTAGTTTAGTTTAAAGACTACAAATAACTCGAATTTGCAAATCCTGTTATATTATTGATAGTGATAGTAAGAAATTACAGTAGTGACATTCCGAAACATAATTTCAATGTAAAATCACTGCTATAAAAATTGATTAAATATTAGTAAATTAAATTTAATTTCCATATGTACAATAGAATGTTTAACGTGTAATTTCAAACTCGTTCTAAGAAAACTGCAGTGTAATAAAAAACATATTCTTGTAGCTCACACATTAATATGGTAGTTTGTCCTTGATATGTCAAGATATCTTAGAATTCTCCAACATAAATTCAGTGTTGAATAAACAATACGGGGAAACAGAAAACTAGTCGTCTGGAAATTTATGAGGTAAGAACTTGGTCGGGCGGCGCTCATGCAATGTTTTGTGTGGGAAATATGTCTGACATGTTGGAGATATAAATGTTACGTGTTTTAAAGATAAATGAACGCAAAATAACGTGTACCGCAAAATTGTTATAACGGGATTGAGCGTGGTATTTTAAGTTTGACGGAAATATAAATGTTGTAAATATATCTACTGAATGATAACATCTTGGAAGTATTCTTATAATTTATTTTATTTTTCTTGACGTTAGTCTGGAATAAATATTGCTTGTAATGAATTGAACAATTAATTGAATAATTTTAAAATAAACCCTATTTTTGTTTGATTATAACATTTTGTTATGTTTGAAACGTAAATATTCTCAAAGTAAATGAAGTCCGAAAAATGTCTCAAACGAACGATATAAACATTATTGACACCCTTCTTGTTTATTTTATGTTGATGGTAGCATGAACAGTAGACTTTATATCAAATTAAAGAACACACAAAACGTATCTAAAATGAAAAGTGTTGCAAAATAGAGCTTGAAAAAATATTGTTTACCATCGGTGATAAGCAAAAGGTGTAACTCTCTGTCCAAACAATACTACATTATTCAGTCTCAAACTTAATTACTAAAATCAACAGACTAATCGCCTATAGCGATTCAGGTGTGAGATTATACACAATTGGCTGTGTATTTTGTGTCATAAAATTTGAATAATGAGAACCAAAATTGGCGTCAAACCCAACGCACGGTGCCTAGAGTGGAAGGGGTATTTTGAGCACCTTTCAAACCTACACAAAAGAAACATTTTGATGGTTAATCGCCAAGGAGAGTAACCAGCCGCCGAGTTGCGGTCAATAGTCTGTCTGCGGGTTGTCTGAAATGTTTTGGAAAGTGAAAAATGTATTATGATGGTAAAATAAATATTATAATTGCCTATTTTACTCATAGAATTATAGTGTTTTACTAACAGTGGTGGTGTGATGCAGGATATTGTTAAAAAGGGGGAGGATTTTGTAAATTTCAAAATTTAGGAGAAAAATTGGCCAGTTTATATAGTTTTGGTTTTTTACAAGTTTATTTAGGAATTTTGTACAGATTTTGATGAAGGGTTGAAAACACACAAGTAACAAATGCATCGAAGCACAACATTTTTTTATTCACTAGTGGATTTTATTTTCAGAATTAGACAACTCTTCTTTTTTGCGTGGAGTTTAGAGTTAGGTTTTTCTCAAAATTGTTACCAGAAGTACATTAATGTATTCTCATGGATAAAATACAAATAGAATGCGGATAAAATGGCGTGCATTCAAAATTGTGTATACAAAGATTGTATAAAATTCGCTAAAATGTTATCTGGTAACGTAAAAATTACGCACATGTTCACACGAATAAGACTGAACTTACTAATCATGTTTATATTTTCTGGACTAGTAACTTAATATACTATTTCGTTTTTATACTTTACAGTTTATCGTATTTTTTATAGTTTGCTTAAATGATGGTGCAATATGACGATAAATATATTATTTAACCTCCCGCATTAAAAGGACCATATTCGTGTAAATAAAATTCTAAACAGCGATGAGTTTGAAGAGCTTATGTTTAACATAATTTAAATTCTAACAATGTAACACCTGTTTACTTCTGGTGCTTTTAATTTAATAACATTTGCTGGAACTTTTTCTCAAAGCTAATTATGTTAAGGTATTTTTAAGAAGGCAATCTCGATTCCTCTCCTTCCAAAGACTTTGAGTTAAAGAAAACTTTCTTTATCGAGGGCACGTGCTGTATTAATTTATTTACCGACTTACAAATTCCTTTTCAAGTCTAATGAGTTTAAAGGAACGGTGGATGAAAATTGGTCGGGATTTATAAAGAAAACACTTACTGTAATTATGAATAAAATGTGTGCTGCGTGTATATCATAAGATATTAATGTATCTCTTGATAGCGTATTTCCCCTAAATCGTATAAGGCATCGCCGTATTAAGTGGCATAAGACCTATACCCTGGACCGATTCACTCCTTTTTCATTGATTTTGGCAAAAAAATAATACTATTCGTTCTAAAATTTACAAACCGTCGTCCATACCACATTGTTTTTTTTTCAAAATTACTTACAGTGTTTTTGCATGTTTTCACCGCCAAATTGATTTTTTTTGCGGGAGATGTAGTGAACCCTTACTTTTCATAAGCAACTATCCTTTTATTACTTAACCTTTCTGTATCGATTTGAATCATGTTTTAAATCGCCATGTTCAATGCCGCTGTGTAGTATTTTCTGTAATATTACAATAACCCATTTCAAATGCTAAATAGACAAATTAATTGAATTGTTACCAAAATAATTTATCAACACTTTTTCTAACCATGTGCCTCAATTATGTTTATGTATGGGTTTAGTAAAAAAATGTATCGTAAAAGTCTGTCACACTTGAATAAAAATAATGAAAGGCGAAGCCAAGCTGAACTTGAACGTTGCTTCACTGAGTTCATGCGTTCAATGGGTCAATGTTCAAAGTTCAATGTTCAATACACAGTCTTTATATGCACGCGATGCGGGACTTTCACTATATGCACTCTTTCAACCCGACCCCTTAGGGTGGAAACAAACAAAGCCGATAAAAATCACCCTTCTTTTCATAAAATCTACATATAGAGTTCAATCCATTCCATACTTTAATGAAGCCTGACAATTATTATTTATTGGCTGAAGTATTAGATTTTAATATAAGTATATTTTCTTTTTTGTCCTGTCATAAAGTGCGCATCCTGGAATCCATTTAAAGTTTTTTAAAACATTTGAAAACATAAGCTTTCTAAAATTATTATCGTGTAAGTTTTGTTGAGGGCTATTTAAATATTTGTATTAATCTAACAATAAATCTGTTAGTATGCATAGGAATGTATATTATTGGATTAATTTCCAAAAGTCAATCTAAAAAAGTTTTAGAAAGTAGGTGGTAGTATATTATTTATAAGGAGATGTATTTATATGGAGGTGTTTAATTAAAACTGTACAATGTATTTGTTTTTAATTAAAGAAAACCCTATTTTAGGGTATTTTAACCCTATAGATTTTTTGCTTACTGTTTTAGTTCAAAGCTTTTCGATAGGGCATCCAAACCTGGGTTTGTGTTACTATCTTACACTAAACCTAATCCAAAATGTCTACGAAGCTTATTATTAAACTTGCCTCGCACTTGGTTTCGATCATAGTTTATTTCACAACATTGATCAATTATACTACCCATGAAAAGTTAATTGCTAGATTTTAGGTCCATACTGTAGTTTACATTCAATGGATTCTTTACCTAATGAGTTTTAAATGTCTTTTATCATCCAATCTATTAACAATGTCAATCGTGCATGCACAGCCCTAATTAGGGTAGTTAAAGCCCATAAAACCCAATTATTCAATAAAACAAGTCGTATCACGAGAAGTAAATGATTTATTTAAACACGAACAATGCAGGTATAGCGTGTAGGGGTGGGTCTATTAAAACCCCGACAACTTCCTAGACTTGATAACACGAGGCTACTAGTGTCGACTGGCGCCAGTAGCTGTAATAGCCTGTGTAATAATGGGGGAGGAATCTGTTATAGGGGTAGTCGCACCCCAGTCAGCATTTTACACTGAAATTTCAAATAGTCGTGTAAAATGTTTGAATTTAATTGGTTTATGTAGATTCGCAAAATTAACAAGAAAAAAGTTTAAAATTGTGATGAATTTGAACCGTTTGAAAAAAAAATTGTATTTGAGTACTGTATATTCAAAACCATACCTACTGCACCTCCACATCACTATGATGAGACAAGAGACTCAACTAAAGGCCAGGGACACACTTACCGGCGAAACCGTCGGACGCAATTCTATTTAAATTCTATTTACCATAGCATACCTAAAGAATTTATCCACGTTGAGGCACATGAGCATGTTTTTTAGACAGCCATCGCAGTGAAGTGAAATGCAGTTTTGGATTGTGTAGTACATGTCACTGGGTCAATAGGGTATTTGACATGAAAAGATAGGGAAAATAATTCTACGATGATCACTGCTCGTTCGTTTACCAAACGTGCTTAAGCCTCTTGCCTCATCCATTCGATCTTTATTGTTTATTTTTAGCCTAGTTATGTTATCAATTTGTTTTGTGTTTGTCACCAGGAGTGTATGATGACCAGTAAGGAGCGACGCAGAGCTCTGAGGAAGCTACACAACCCTCTCTGGCACGGAGACGACGAGTCCGCACCTTCCCTCACCTGGCTCATCAACAGGGGTGAGTTCCACAGTTTTTGACAGCTTTAGTTGTGCAATATTTTATGATTATTTCCCATTTTTGCGGACAAATAGCTTGATATTTTATAGCTTCTCATTTCAAAGTGTATTTTGTTATTGAATTTGATGCTTGAATTTTTAACGTAGGCTACATAACTGTATCAAAAAGGAGTTTTAACCTCATTAGCAAATACTCAAATAGCTGTCTATTTCGGTGTTATAGAGAACATACAGAATTTTATTTTTATTTTTTAACATCCAGATCAAGTGAAATTGTTGACATTATCATTAATTTAGATATCAACCAAACCATTGAGAGTTTAATTTTAGTGATTTATAGAATCGTATCTTAAAATATTCGAACTAAAGCATTATTTAGAACTAGTAAAATATCGATAAAAACACAAATACTTAGGATATATATTTTGCGTTAATGTTGTGAATATTGCTTCCAATGATGGTAGTTCACAAAGTCAAGTATGCAGGAAAATTAATCTAGCTACAATCGTCTACTGTACCGTATTAGTATAAACAAACAATTCTTCATTCTCTTCAAACCTAATCATTTGTAATAAATGAAAAAAAAAATACTTTCAATTTCCTGTTTGGACAACAAAAAGTGTTCGATTACAAAACTCATTTCATCAAGTCCACGCAGGAATTCTCATTAGACGTTTTGGCTCCAAGAAACAGACTCATTCACTATTGAAACCCCAATCCCCGACGTCCGAAATATCAAGTTAGGGACCATTAAAGCTCCCCTGTCCCCAGGCCAGGGCCGCGTAAAAAGACTACTTTTGTCATCATCTCTCGCGATATTTCAAAGCTACCCATTATTCAATCGAATGGCTGGTTTCGTTTCTTTCACCTCTCGTCCGCAATCCAAACGTCATTTAGTGTCCGCGCAAGTCTTTATGGAAATTTTATAGGTTTTGTGGGGTTGAAAAAAGATAAGGGATTTTTTATTTATTTTCAAGCTGCAAATGGAGTTTGGAGCTTTACTTTAGCATTTATTGGTCTCTGTGAAAGCACAACTTTTGTACAATCATAAAATAGCTTTATTGAAACGTTTCCTCAGTAGATAATCTGTTATAAAATATAAATGTAATATTTAGATTTATTGGACGAAAAGCAATCACGTATTTTCGTAAACATAATGTAAGTATTATACCAATAATGTACCACGTAAGATTTCGTGATTGGCAAAACGAAATATTAACCATTTTTCAGTATCTATACAAATAATACTTCAAGAATATTTTCAAACTTACATTCTTTTTAAGTAAATGTAACATTTTTCGTGAAACTGCAAAAAACACGTTTAAAGAGAACTACAGAAAACTATTTTAATGGTATGTAAATGGGCAAATGTAATGCATCAGTAACGAAAAAGACCATTAATAACACTCTGGTGACTTTTATGAGCAAATACAATTTACTAAGATTAAAAATATATGCATGTTTTTTTATACTGTATAATTAATACATTTTAATGGAAGAAATTTTCATATTCAACAATTCTTTTTCAATGAATTCAAGAGCCAATGCTGTGTTCTATATTCTTTTAAAGGATAAGTTTTGACTAAACCAATATATTATGAATAAATTCATTACATAATTCGTTCGCTTTACAGAATCAATTGTGGCATAAATGTTCGGCCATCAGTAAGTTTTAACGAGAGCCTAACCAAAGAGTAATCTCGCTTTCAAATTGAAAGTTAACCAAATTAGGCCGTGGATGAAGTCTGCATCAGTGACTTCTCGTCAAGTCGCACTCGTCAAAAGACTGTTGTACTTGATTTGACTCAGAATAGTCATATTTGTCAATTTTAACTACTTTTTACACTTAGTTATAAACAATTTTCATTACATTAAAACATCATGGGTAGATCATCGAAGTAAATAATACACAGATATAAAAATTGCAGAAAACTATTTTTTATTTATAAAATAATTTCTTGTTATTAATCGTTTTTAGTATAAACATCTTGAACATGCCGAATTTAACACATTTAAGCTGGTAGATACAATATTTCGTACATCGTCCACTAAGCCCTATAACAATCTGATGCGAATAAAAACGCCCAATTAATTGTTGCAAAATCAGCAAATCACACGTAAAATAATAGAAATGAAGTCCAACATACACGAGCTATGTATTGACTGCAAACCAAGTTATGAAGCTGCATGCAAACCGTGCAGTGAATGTACGGCGATTCGACAGACTTGGCTACTTGTTTACGCAACAAAAGTTAGACTGCTAAAATCAACGACCAGATCTGATCTTTATATCTACATTCAAAATGTATTGCCAACTTTAAAAAGAATACTACAAGTGATCTCGTATTTTATTTACACATGTGTGACATTCCAAGACGGTCGCTGCACGGGAGCGACGGGATATCTGCAACAGTTCCTGACAGCTCCTTGGTTTTTTGTGCCCAAATGTTTGTGTTCTACGGTTTAGATACAAATTACCCTGTCCGTTACTGCAGCGCCGTCACGGTACGACGTCATGCCGATGGTTTACATTCTAGTCTGTTTTTTACTCCGCCACCCGGAGCGCGTCTTTCACACTGATTTGAACGTTTTGTGCTAACATCTTTACAGCGTTTTTCTGCATTTTTATCTGGATAAAACGTTCATACCTTGGTTTTTTTTTTTAAGTTGTAATTTAGATTGCTCCAGTAATATGAGTTTATTTACTATGTGAGTCTTTGAAATAATTATATGACTAGGACATAATATGATCATAATTCGCAGTTTTGACCCAGCGTTAGTTCATTTTACTTGTTTGGTTTGCAATAAATCGCATATAGTTTTCTCTATTCATTCTATACTATGCAGCCTTAGGCGAGATAACAAACTTATTACCATCTGCGAAAAAACCATTGCACAAATCAGTAAACCGTAAACATTTGGTCATTATGTTTGTTCAGATTCCGATTTACTCACAATATTGCACAACATGATGAACAATAAAATAATTTTAGCTTAAGAATTTTTCGACCTATTCTGTCATTTATTCTATTTTGTCGATGTTTTGTACATATGAGGTTAGGAGGATGATATGAATGTTTTATTTTAGTATTTAACCATCTAGACCGTTTAAAATTAAAATTACCTTTACACAAAATGCTCTATTTAAAATCGCAACTATAGACAAAATGTCTCAATACAATACTTAATGAATGACTTTTTCTATTAATATACATAATGGAGTTTAAAATAACATATTGTTTGGTTGCTAACAAATTTGTAAATGTTAGTAGTTGGAGGATGTATTGTGAAAATGTTTGCAGCTTTAGCTGTAACTTTAGAAGGTGTGCTGAAGAACGAATCAACCATTTTAGATTAATTCATTTGATACTCGACAGTATGGTGTTGATCCAGACTTAGCTTTAATATTCAATCTCAATCCCAATCTAAAAATTAATTTTTACATCCACTAATAATGGAATAGTATGAGGATGAATTGCATTTCCAAACATGTAATTAATTCAAAGAAACCAAAACATAAATACAAACAAAACATTTAGGTATTTGTCCCCATCTACTTTATCGCAAGACTCTGTAGAGTTGGTTTTGACGGTCCCTGTGTCGCCCCGTACGTGACATGTACGTGTTTGTCGTGTTGTTACAACATGATGTAGCGTCTACTTCTACGTTTTATCTTATTCCTCGTCTAAACTAACCAAGAAGCTTATCTTTATTTTAGCGTTTTCACAACTAAGAACTGAGGGTAATTCTAGGTTGCATCAGAGATTAAAAGAGTAACCAACTTATTTTGCCAAATACCAATCTGTAAGTATGATCTATTATGTTGGTAATGTTAGTATTTTTTACGCTTTTTATGGGTGGGCAATATTTTTGAGGCAAACTTGTAGTGTCTCTCAATTATCAAATTTTATGGTAGTATAATGTTTTACAGTAAACAAACGTGGCTTTTTATTTTTACGCAATAAAGTACAGCTTTATACTTGTTGCGTTTACAAAATTGTAATCGTTTCATTTTGGCCAACAATTCCCTATGATTAAAGTTGAGCACGGCTTTTAATGGAAGTTTCTTGAATTTACAAGTAATGTAAATCATTTACCAATGAAGTCTGCAATATTCCACTTCCTCGTTCCGTTACTAAAGAATTATCTCAAATAACATATTCCTACCATAATTGTTCCTCTTTTTCAAATTCATTCATCAACAGGATTATCAGAAGTAGTTCATCTATTTTCTTAAACTATTTTATGTGGTCAAGCTCAAATGTCGTATAGTTCTATTTAAAAAAATATCTATTTGTAATGTCCTTATCAATATTTATAACCGGTTTCGATTTGATCATTCTCAAAAAGTAAAGCAAACTATTCAGTGAGGCGGTATTTTTTTGCGTGGGCTGCTGTGGGTTCTTTCCCAGTAATCTGCAACGCTTTTCCGCTGTTCCGTCGTGTTCCGCTGTTCCCCGCGGTCAAGGGGTCGAGTGGACCACGGGCCGCGACGGTCATGGTCGTGGTCTCCTTGCTGACCAGTGGCCAGAACCTAGCAGTAGAGTTGGCTCCCATCTCCCATCTCGGGTTACGGACTGTTGTATACCTCCGTGGAGTGCTTGCCAAGTTTCATATCATCATGTATTTGCAGATAACTACATAATCCGTATAACTTTCAGCATTTTATATCTCAAATAACATATTCATATCATAACTGTCTCTCTTTTTCAAACCCATTCATCAACAGGATTATCAGAAGTAGTTCATGTATTTTCTTAAACTATTTTATGTGGTCAAGCTCAAAAACCGTATAGTTCCATTTAAAAAATATCTCTTTTGTAATGTCCTTCACTAATATTTAATAAAACGGTTTCGATTTGATATCATTCTAAGAAAAGCAAACTATTCAGTGCGGCGGTCTTTTAACTACCCATGAAACCTAAGCTCTAAAAAGAATATTTACATTTATTTTGTTTGTTAACCTTAAACTATTTGTTTGTTAGCCTTATCAATTGGACCTCACCGACAAGTTTTTTTTTTGTTTTTGTTTTTGTTTTTTTTTAACTTGGTGTGGCCAAGCTGTTGTAATTTTCATAATAAATATATTTGTATTTGATACTTAAGTACTATACCGACCACACCTGATAGTTATAACCTAACCTGACCTGACATAAGGGTGGACTATGTTTTAGGTTAGGTTAGGTAAGGAAGATTTTGTTATTTAAATTAATTAAAATCTTATTTGGAAGTAGATTTATCAATGTGGTCGGTATAATACCAAAAACCTTTATTTTTTGTCTCTAAGGTGTACATGCTATACTTTAATATTAAAGTCTTAAATAGTATTTTACTGTCCAATACTTAGTACTCCTAGACTTGACAATACATTACCAGTGTCTATAGTTATCTTTTCATCATTGTACAGTAAACACAATACAGTCTGGACCAAGGCTTGTCTTGTCCCCTAAGGAAGTGAATTCCTCGGCTTTTCATTTCCGATCTCCTGCCCTCCAGGTTTCCTTACAACTCTTGGTATTTATTATTTTGTCTTTTTTTATTTTTGGGAGACATATCCTTGCTTTCCTATTGTGGATATATATATTTTTTTAGTTTTGTTTTGTATTTTCGGGTCTTATTTATTTGTTGAATGTATATTCCTTTGCATACATATTTGTCTTTTAATGTATTGTCAAAGAAAAGTACATGCAATTTGTTAACTTCAAAATACACTTTAATTACTACAAAAAATTACAAATTACAAAACATTAGAGATTGATTGTTCTCATTTTAAACCAGAATGTTGAAATACGATATGTTATAAATAAGATTTGTTGTAAAATCAATTGTTTGCATTACAGGATTTTAAAAGATGTGTTATTAACAAACCCAAAATCGTTTGTAAGACCTAACTGTCATGCAAGCTGCACAACAATTTTATTTCAATTGTTATTTTCATTTCTTAGATTATTTTCATTTTACAACATATTCCATTATGGAATTTAGAACTGATATATTTTTAACTATTTAACTTTTTTTAGAAATATGAGATTTTTAAAATATTTAATCTATGATCTACTCTAAAGTGATCTTCATTGAATAAAAAAAAAACAGGGGTAGGCACGAGTCCTTTGACCCATGTATTCCAAACATGAGACATGTTCTTCAAATACTATACACTATACTGGGTGAATAATGGACTGAATAACGTGTTAAAATGATTTAATGCCCAGGAACTGTGTACCAAGTTTTGAGGCTCTATCTTTATAACTTTTTGAAATATTTAACCATTCCGGGACCTTTTTCCCACCCTGTAAACATCACCTAATCAGTATGTAATGTAAACGAGACTGAAAAGTGAAGACGATACAATTTTCATCAGATACCATCATAATTAAGACATTTTTTAAATTTCATTCTCAAAAATTCTTAAGACAATTGGAGTATGGTGACTAATTTCAATAATTACCTTTATAACAAACAATGACTATAGTTTATAATTAGATTCAAGCCCTTCTTCTCGTATTGATCCAGACTTCACATCCTTAGACAGTTGTGAGAGGGTTTCCACTTTAGGAAGAGCATCAAAGGTTGAGCTTTAATTGCACTTTAGATGTGGTTTGGTACAAGGCGCAATAAGATAAGTTGGCAGATCAAAGACTGCAGAACAAAGCCTGTTCCTTCAAAATTGACGTCATGTAACAAAATAATGCAAATACTGCAAGTAAAGGATACAATATTGAACTCTGACACAATCTTTGTAAGATTGACTAGACCCAGCCAGTTCTGATCAATAGACTTCTAATAAAATGTCTACACTGAAGAAAAGTGTAATCTAAATTAGTAATAAAGCTGCTGACTATCCTATTTCATTCTAATCTCACCACATTCATATTCAGATTGAAATATGAATCTAAATGTTCATCGCTGTCTTACAGAATTGAATTGAAATATAGTAGGCTATTCAGTTTTGAAACAGTAAATTAAATTAAAACGTACTTCAGTGCACTTAAGACTTTTATGAAATATAATAACACGAAATGAAATCAACGATTTCTAATCTTTTTCTCCAATTTTCTTATTCTTTAGTCTATGTCTGGATGGATTTAATCAGGCTGTGGTGGACAGTGTCGACATGATGATCAGCTGGTGACAGTGTGGGCAGGGAATTAACTACCCACACCTGGTAAATTGTCTTATCATTGTTCCAGTGTCTTGTAGCTGATGAACATTGTTTCTCCTCCAAGTTATCAATCATTATCACTTAACTGAAGTCCTCATTTCCTGCAGTAAATTCTAATGACAAAGCACAGCTAGCAGAACAGTTTTACTTACAGCCGGTATTGCTTTACATTCTTACAATTGCCTACATTAACATTTGTGTATGTTATTTATCCATCTTTTTTTTTAAATTTATATAAACTTCTTTGATAAAGCAAATCAAATAATAAATATTCAGAATCAATTCCTGAATGCCAATCATTTTATATACATAATTTATTTTTTTGGTTGGTTCTGGTAGGGCCCAAACTTTTACGGGGTATTCAAAACTGGGGAAAACGTGTAATTGATGAAAGAAGGCCTGCAATTCAATGTTAAGAAAACTGTACAACACAATTTTTGCTACCTATATCAAAACCGTTCCCGAATGTCCTTTATTGACTAAGCGTTCAAAAACAGATTTTAACAATAGAACTAGCTGATTGTATACCCCAACTAGCATCTTAGCTATCAACTGATTCATTTTCATCCACCACTCCCCCTGGTGTGTTGGGGTTGTGATAACTATAATCCTCATATTTCAAGGGGACTTTGTGCTGTGAAAATTTTACCCAATAAACTAGATTTTAAGTTCTACTTGGTGTTGCAGGAACGCTCAACAAGGAAGGACATTTGCTATCCGACTCTGTGCCAGACTTGGAGGGACAACAGAGAGACTGTGATGATCCTTGGAGAAGGACTCAAGGAACTCCACTACACCAACGTCTGTCTTGTAAGTATCCGGCAATGGCTACTGGTTACTTCCAGTAAGTCAAATACTTTCTTGACTCGCCTACTCCCTCAAACTCAACTGGTTATTTAGTTCTTGTTGTGGTTGATAGTGTAGACTAGACTACTGTGTATGAGTTGACTTGTATCAGGTACATCCATCCAATGCTACACTCATTGATTTGTATCTCGCTATCAAAAGCCGCCTACATATCAAGAAAAGCTGCTACTGTAGTTCTTTTTCTTTTCAATCCAAGTCATCTTCACTTAGTAAAACACTCTCAACTTATTTCCGCTGATAATCTTGTTCTTTCTTATGTGAAAGATTTCCTCCAAGCTCTCCTCTAAATATACTTAACACGTTCGCTGCGGGTGGGTCAGTACTGACCCACGGCGATCGAATCGCTCATGCTGCCGGGTCAGTACTAACCCACACTGCAGTGAATCAATATGTTGCTCAGTGCTAGCCTAGCGTCAGTCGAAGGTGGACCTACACCACGTTAGCGTGTAGTGTGTGACTTGCTTTGTTCACCGTTGAGTTGGTTCCCGCGGCCCGCTCCCGCCGTGGCGGCTGGGTCGGTACTGACCCACATTACTGTGAACGCCCCTCGCTTTGCTAATTTTTTGTGCTTTATGACGTCATATTCAATTTCAATTATTTTTTAAACTATTTTATTTCAATAATATTAACATTTCATATCTTTTATATCTGTAATTTTTGTTTAATATTTAAATTTTTTATACTCCGGTTCTTGATGGGTCAGCACTGACCCATGTATATGACGTCACATTATGAAGTCATAATTAATTCCAATCAATTGATATACTATTTTATGTTGGTTATTTTATCGTAATGACTACATATATATTTAGAACATATATTTTTAGTAACATATATAATGTATTCAGTGACATTTCCATTTTTTTCTGACTCTGGCTCCTGATGGGTCAGTACTGACCCATTATTATGACGTCACTTTTTGACGTCATATTCACTTCCGATCGTATTATATAATATTGTATTTCAATAAGGACACAAAAAGGAATGATATACAACAATAAAGTTTTTTAGCAATACGATTCGATTTTATAATTTCCTTTAGCAGTGAACGTGTTAACATAATATTGCACTGACTACATAAAGAAACTATATGTTCCAAGGACAACAATGTGTTCAAAAGCAATTAGGTAGAAAGCCTATTGGTCAAAAGGGGGATAGCCCAACTCCGTGCGGGGGTCAAATTTAAGCCGAGGAAAAGTTTTATGGCCCCCGAAGGTTCCAGTCCAACTCCGTGCGGTGGTCACTTTTAGTGTATAGTTCAACTCCGCGCGGTGGCCATACATCTAATCTCTACGCTACCTGGTTGTGCTCTCGGATGAGATATGAAGTGTTTAATATAAACTATTCTGTATACCGTGTGTCTCAAAAGTAATGTTAAACTTGTATTTGTTCATAGCTACTTTAGTCATATGACAGTTTAGGTTAGGTTAATGATTGTGTATTATAGACTTTGGAACATATAAGTTCACAGTCACTCTTTCTCACGGACTTTTTTTAACTCCGCGCGGAGTTGGAGATGTGCCGCAAGGGACCCGAAGTGACTATCACGCGGATTTGGACAGCTGTCCAACTACAACTGGTTTTGACAGATTTCTGACCACATCGCGGAGTTGGGATAAGCCCAACTAAAGGCATGGGCACAACCCTTGAGAATAAAGCTTGGCCAGGTTAATAAATTATAATAAGAGTAAATTACAGCCCTGAAAGGTCTAAGAGTTTAATATTAATTGATTCTGGTCCTTTTTGGGGAAGCATTTCTTTTGAATATTATCACATCCTTACCTAGTGATTTTATTATTATTACGATTGATATAAATCACACGATTGATAAGAGCCCATTTTGAGTCTAACAACAGAAACAGTTCACTCTTGCTATAAATTCAGAACAAATTTTAGTTTTTTTTTTGATGAATTTTGATTTGATCCAAGTATCCTCCTCCATAAAAATATTTTACTAACTACAGTAACCCACATTTAAATCACTTTTAGGCCAAAACTTTTATGCACAAATTAAATTTGCCACTTTTATTGTGTCTGTTGAAAATAAAATTATAATTTTCATCAGCAATAATTCATCAATTATAACTCCTGATGCATTCCTCCAATACATAGAAACTGAAGACAAATAACTATTGATCTGTAGAATTGAAGCATCAAGCTATTTCATCAGAGTGTGGAGAGAGAGCAGCACCTGTCATGTGTCGGTAGTGCAGATTGTTCTTGGTAAAGCAGATTGTTCTTGTTACCAGATTACAAGTTCTTTACTTCTACTGTAGGCCTACATATTTTCATTTCAATTTGGATCTCTTCATGATAGTGGTATGATTTGGAAAGAACTCTTCATCGCAAAAATATCATTTATTAATCTAACGAATTCCTTCAAATAAAAAAAATCTTTTGTATTTTTTACATTTTTATTTTATTTGATTTGTTGAGCACAGCAAAATCTAGGACTATTTTTTTCTTTCCAATGTGTGCCCTTGCGCTAGTTAGGTTACAGGATGATAGACTTTCTTTAATGTTGATAGTAAGTCCTGATAAAGCTGGGTTTTCCTAGACGCGGAATCGGCCAGCGGAGAGCGGACAACGGAGAGCGGAATTGAAATTAACATGGCATTCCGCTCCGCTGCTAGGAAAACAGTAACATTAAATTACCTAAGACAAGCTGAGTCCGCTCTCCGCGTTCCTCTCTCCGCTGGCCGACTCCGCTTCTAGGAAAACCCAGCTTAAGAGTTTGAAAAATATTACACTGTTTGGCTTACTTTTTCACCAAAAGTCTTTCTTCAAAGGCGTTAATGTGTTAAAAATGTTCACCTAAGGCTAAAATTTTTAACTATAGCCTACTAATTATCTGGAATAGTGCATCTCTTCAATCGTTCAATCTTCTACATTAAGGTAAGTTACGAAATGCCAAAAATAGTTTTAACATATTCTCTACTAACTTATACCAACCAACTCTCTTTTGTATCTGAGGTCTGAATTGTAGTTGGCAGTTAATATGTGAAACGTTCAAATGGAAAATGCTCTTTGTGTTTATTTTTCTTAAATGGAGATGTACAAGAATCCACATGTTTTGCAGTGCTTACGGATATAGACATCAACAGCTGTTCATCCAATCTAGACACACCTCCTCCTTCGGTCCCTGCTACGTTCCGGGGTCGACCTTACCCTTACAGACTGAACAACGATGTCTTCTTCATGTCTACTGGTCAGTTGATATGGTTATTTTTTTATAAAATAAATGATTGTGTGAGAACGTCAATGAATTTGTTTGTGAACACTAACGAACACATGTGATGCCAGGGCCGGCCCTTGCTATTACTCTGTTACTGTACCACAATAAAGGCATTTTCAAGCATCTATAAATTAGGAGTCTACTCAGAGGTTCAATGATGCTCAATCAACAACAAATTGGAAACTGGAGTAGTGAAAGCCTTTTTCCAATATTTTCAGATTAAAGCCCATTTTCCATTTCTCCATTTTGACCCGTTGGTAAAAGATAAAAAATCTAAAAATCTCTACAAAAGATCGGTAATTTTCATTAAAAAAATTACAAAACCTATGTCAGGTCCCGTTCAGTCCTCCTTTGGACCCAGGCTCAGGTTAAGTGGTTCTGGTAACTTCTTGTGTCAGCCTTGTCTAATGCAAGTAAGTTGATGAAGCCGAATTTAAAAAATAATCAAAATCTTTATTAGATAAAAAGTTTTTCAAGTAGATTTTAAAATTATATTTTAAGTTTTCATTTCTATAATTCAGGGAACAAAATTAATCCCACTAATGGGATTGTGCCCCCTGAATCTCTCAGTTAGTTTGGTATGCTACGGAAATGTAACGATAAATTGTTTCTAAAATTTTTTAACTGGCTTTAATGGCTCATTTTTCAGATAAAATTCAAGCTAAGTCGTCCAAGTTGCCATTTTGAAGTGTTGTGTAGCTGTGAAATGTCTAGTATTCAGTAAGATGGTAGAGTCAACTGATTTTACTTTTGGTGATGTAAACATACTTTTTCTCTGACTTTAAAACCATATACACCAAGGAAACAATAATTACCTTTTAGCGATTCCTTAGGCCTACTATCTGCAGCGGTCATACATTTAAAAAGAAATTTTCCGTTTATATTATACCTTTAACATGATAAAACTTATACAAGTGTCTGGTTTTATATAAGTTCTAAAATGATTCTCCTGTAAGTAAATGAATCTGTGTTGTTCAGGTAAGAACGATGAACGCTACAACGGAGGCTCCATAACTGCTTCGTACTGCAGCAGCAGATCAGCGCTGACTCCAGTAGGATCATTCCGCAGCTCTCATCTCTTCAGTCCGGCAAAAACCGCAGCAGCCAACAGCACGCAGATCAAATACAGAGGTAAACAGAATTTCAAACATAACGTTTTCTAGGAAAATGACACACAGGAACGGGCTTCTTAAAATTTTACTGTTCTTCTCACTTGAAACTCTAAAGTCTTGTCCTTTTAATCCTTCATACGTAGACCCACAGCCTGAAGTTGGCTTTGAACTATCAAGCCATGGCATTCCATAGAAAAGTTCTGTTTGGTGATTTTCAAGCTTTGAACTTAAACCCCTGGGTAATCTTGTGCTGTATACATTATACTAAGCCACAAAACAGCGGCGTAGCACAGCTCGACCTGAACCAGAAGTATCTTAGGAGCCATAAATCTCTCTTTCTCTGACACTCCAGGTGAAATTCACTGTGGAAAAAAATTTATCATTAATAGTGTTGTAAAATTGAATCAGCTAAAGTAAATGGTTTATTCTGTAGTACTCAGAGGAGTAGCATCCATGAAAAGAAGTAAACATCTATGTGTAGAGAGGGAGATGAGATGATACAGTACAAGACAGAGATAAGGGTACATTCTCAGCCTCAGACTCTTAGGCCAGGCGCACACAGGCGATTTTGAATCGCGCAACAGTTGCCCGACTAATCGGGGGACTGTTGCGGGACTCACTCGGAGACTCTGAAGTCTAGCGACAGTTGAGCTGGATAGCGCACACAGGCAACTTTTTAGTCGTGAATCTAGTCTTGAGACGTGTTGGAAATACATTCGTTACAGCGTTCTGAATGGATTTCAATGATACAGCCGTAGTATGTGCTTTGTTGCTGAAGTTTCGTGCGCGAAAGAAAAAGAGAAGATACTGGGTTCATCCCATATATAGTGAGCGATTTGTGAAAGGACAGTTCCATTTTGTACAATGACTTAGAGAACACCCAGAGAAGTTTTTCAAATATTCAAGAATGAGTGTCGGGAGTTTTTATGAACTGTTAACACTTGTGATACCAGCAATTTCGTATCAACCTCTTCTCAACTTCATCAATTAATTGTTCGACATCCTCATCACGCACACTCATACTTACTTGTAATTTTCTAAAAACTTCACACACACAACAAGTGAGCAAACACTAGTGACAGTTCTGGCCACGAGTAGTTCCTGGGGTGAGACTGGGCAACACAGCGACTATTTAGTTGCATGTGTGCGCATCTACACTCGTTTCAATGGATACCAAACCTGGAGCGACAGTCCCGCAACAATTCAGTCGCAGAGCAGTCGCTGGCAAATTGGGTCCGGGAACATCGGTTGCAACAGTTGCGCGACTGTCCCCAGACTGTTTTCTTCGTGTGCGCACTCCAATTTAAAACAATGTTGAACATTTTAGTCGGGCAACTGTTGCGCGACTCAAAATCGCCTGTGTGCGCCTGGCCTTAGATGATAACAAACACCTTGAAAATTGTGTCAATTACCATGTTTAGGACTTATAAAACAGTGACAGAGGAGGGGAACAGGATTGATCCCTCCAAGAGAGCTGTCAGGTGTTTCTCAGGACTCAGACATCAGGTACTGAGGTCTCAACTTTGTCATCCTCCTCAAAAAAGTAAAATCCTGACATCCCCAGTGTATTATGTACACTACATAATGAAATGGCTGAGACTACAACTGATGACATAATTTTAATTTAACTGAGCCTACTTGGAAGAAGTGTATCATCTTCTATTTTCTCCCACACAAAATATGTTTTTGCTTGCATCATGAAAATGTTCATTTACCTATTAGCTACTTTGTTCACCCCTAATTATGGATACTGTTATTTTCAGACCGATCTCAAAGCGATGCCTTAAACTGGAAGTCCAGAACAACCGAACTTAAAAATCGAAGATCAAGTTACCTACAAGATGCAACCCATGTGTGAACTTAGAGATTGAGAATGTGTTTTCTCTTCAACGATTTTAGTCAAAACTTATACTGAATAAAACCAAATATTTATTAAGTAGTCTTGTATATTATTTATGTAATTTAAATGTTTACCAAGATTACAAATTGCTTTTGCTGCCAGTTTTACATGTTTTGAGCTTTTAATACATTATCATTGCTTGAGTCAATTAATGTTTTGTATTTGAAGAGAATTATTGTAAGTTTGATTGTAATCTGTTAAGAGGGCTGTATTGTAATCCTAAATCAGGATTAGATCTTTATAATAGTTGTTAATGTAATCTAGTTCGTTAATTACCTGTTGTGTTAACTCTACTTTAAGTTTTACCAAAAGTCAACGATTTACAATGAAAATATTGTAAAAATAATAAATATGTTGCTAAATAATGAACTTATTAATTTACTTCTAAGGTTAATTTTCGTCCAACTTCTTTCATGTGAAATTTTGTTCTGCTATATTTTTGTTAATTATAAATACATAAACTAAATAAAAAAAGTCTCATAACACTTAAACATATATTTACGCTTATACTGTTACTCACAAGACGGTAAATATACATAAAAGATGGTAAGTGATGACAGATTTCGATTGGACACTCCAATTCACTTTCCGCAAATTTAATAACACGTACAATGCTGATTAAGAAGTTATTTAATTATAAATCCCTAGTATAATTATTCTTTCTGTCAAGGAACATTACTGCATAAAAGTAGTTCTAAAAGATTAGGAATACAGAAGCAAAATGCTTAGAATAAAAACACACAGGAAAACATTTTGCTTGGCAGGCGTGAACAGACTGCAATTTTTGTTAATACTCGAAAAAATATTTCTCTTATTAAACTGTATCATTGCATTGGATATATAAGTGTACCGTGTGGATACGGATAGTGTATCCATTGTCAGTGATTGTATTAAGTGTCAGTAATTGCTATAGAATTACAACAGTAAACCATCTAAAACAATACATAAAATGAAAAGTCTGAAATATTTTTTTCCTAAAGAGAAGTTATGCCAGGTTTGTCTATAAATTAAGGTCCCCAACGAGCTCCTATTACAACGAAATAAGCTAGATCAGATGTAATCCAAGCCCTAGCTATCTCTCTTTTCTCACTCCAATCCCATTCATTATCATAATACTCGTAGCAGGTGTTTACAATGGAAAACAAACTCCCATCGAAGAACTAAAATAAACATCATGAATTGTTTGCACATCAAAGAACAAATAAACACCTGATAGACACAATATGTGTTGTAAAAACTGAGTGTAGATTTGTGATTGATTGTAAAAAGCAGGAATATTTTTGTTGGAACCAAAAATACTCCTCGTACAGTACCTTCATATTTTTCATGTAATTTACCATATTATTAATCTAAATAAGCCATCATATTCTATGAAGCGAGTAGCTAGTTTTGCAATTTGTTTTTATTCTATGACAATATACATACTAGGATGTGAACGTTGAGTAGAAATGTGTTCAAAACTCGAGTCATACCTGTATTGTTGGTCTCTGTGATATTTCTGACAGTTCTTGTAGTAACGTGTGTGGCTTGTTTACTTTTCTATGTCAAACCGAAGAGTAATGTTTCTGTGTAGAGGTATGGTGAATAAATAGTTTTCATTATGGAATGGTGCTATAATTACATATACCTTTTTGTGCTTATATTAAGATGAATTTATTGTACATTTAACTATTGCATTGGTATATGCAGGCAAGGCCGTATCTAAGCATAGGCGATATAGGACCCCCACCATAGTTACAATTCACAAATCAATGCCACTGGCCATATCTTATTATCATTAGTGGTATGTTTCAATTATTTGGTTGTAACTTTTCCAGTGTGGGAATGCTCATTATTGTTTGAGAACTGACTAACATGGAGATGTTTACAATTTCAACGCAAAGGAGGGAGATGTTCATAGTTTTGCCGCCATTGCGGAGGATAACGATGATGTGTCCACAACCGCAGAACTCGACCATGAAAGACGTTCACGATTTTGCCGCCATTGCAGGAGACATAACTAACTGATGATGAAATGTTATTGTTGAGTTCTGATTCAGAAAAAGCATGGGTTGCATATTTATAAGATTTCTGAAAAAGCAGAGAGGTAATGCCATTTCTATGCGTTCCTGCCCAACTACTTTACATTTTAATTCACACTTGACATAAGAACGTCTGAAATACTAGAAATATATTGTTTGTTCTTTTATTGTTGACTTACCAAAAATAGTTTATTTCTTCACTAGGCAGGGCCTAAAGTGACTCTTTTCGACCCGAGCTCAAGTTTTACGATCGAGGTGAAGCCGAGGTTAAAAAATTAGCGAGGCTTGAAAAGACACTTTTTTCCTATGTGATAAACTATATTTTTTGTCATATTGCACCATTATTTGAACAAACTATGTTACAAAACTGAAATAGTTTTCATTTAAAGATAACCTCTTGAAACTAGTTCTATCTTGTTTTCAATTCAATTTGCTAACAAGCATGTGATTAGTATGTGATTCAATCGTTTTGTCTATACGATTGTGATAGTGTACATCGCACTATCGATGTATCGGACTATTTACAATAGGGCAACTATTAACTACAATCGATTAAACGATCGATACATACAATTGTTTACAATCAAAATTTACAAATAAATTGACAACAGCTGATTTTTACTCCATTCGGGCTATATAACTTTTGCTATACAAAAAAGTTACAGACAATTTTAGTGATTCCGGTGATCGGGCTATATGCAGCACAACCTCATTCGCATTCCGTATCGAAAATGTTGCGCCGATCGAGACATTGTTCGTGGCAGCTATCACGGTGATCTTAGGAAGTCAGAGGCAGAAGCGCTCCATAATTAAAACGCGAAATAAGGCGATGGTAGCTTCAAAAATGTTTTACGTATGACCGGTTGTGTGTGGAGCCGGTTGTCCACAGAACAGTTCAATTGAAGTTTATAATAGCATCAGGGCCGATTTACCAAATAGGCAAGGTAGGCACGTGCCTAGGGCGCGAGGCAATTGGCTTTTTTGGGGGGCGCCAAAAACTTGGAAAATAAAAAAAAAATCCGATATTCCCTCGCGGCCGTGTAGACATCGTAATCGTCTCCCGCGTTTGTGGCAAGATTCTTACTACTATTTTCCGCGGTCGGGTCGTTTAGACATAATTATCGCCTTCCACGATCAAGGCCATATATGAACATATCCCGCGGTCGTGAGGAGATTATCATCGTCTACCGCGAATGAGGCAAAATTCTAACCTTTTCCCGCGATCGTGTGGGTGTGGCCATTATGATCGTCTTGTACTATCGTGATAAAAATTCTGATCACCCCTCGCGGCCGTGAAGACATCATTATATTGTCCCCCACTGTCGTTTGGGCATAGTAATAATTGCCTCCCGCGATAGCGGCAAAATTGTAATCATCTCCCGCGGACATATGGAGATAATTGTCTTCCGCGAATTTGGCAAAATTCTGATCTTTTCCCGCGGTTATGTGGGCATTAGGCTACCATCGTCCTGAGCGATCGCGGCATGATTGTGATCATCCCTTGCGGTCGTGTAGAAATCATTATTGTATCTCCCGCGGGCTACATAGGGGATTATGGTCCTATGTAGACATCACAATCGTCTCCCGCGGTCATGAATACATGGTAATCGACTCTCGTGATTGCGGCAAAATGTTGATCATGTGCGGCAGTTGCGTAGAGATCGTCGTCGTCTTCCGCAATCGCGGCAAAATTCTTGCTGTTTCCCACGGTCGTGTGGACATTATCATCGTATCCCGTGATCGTGGAAAAATATGATCATCCCTCGCGGCCGTTTGTAGACATATTATCGTCTACCGCGGTCATGTAAACGTTGTCATGCGCGATCGCGGTAAATTGAAAATTCTAGGTAGAAATACAAAATTCACATAATTCCCGGTTCAAAAAACTCCCGCATGATTCCCGTATTTCTCGGTCAATGGACACCGTTGTATAAATTGCAAAGGGGCGCTACTATTAGTTGTGCCTAGGGCGCTGATAGGGTCAAAAACGGGCCTGAATAGCATCCCGATCCCATACACTGTCACTTTCCAGTCCTTCCATTGTAAACAACGATTGCTGCATGTACGATTGTCCGCACCCAGGAAGCTACAACTGTGAACTGATGACACTCAATGCTACATATAGCAGATGCTAGACAAAAAATATTTGTATAACATTACTACATATAGCATTGTAATATGTAGCACGCATTTCTTTTGATCTTTATCAACTCCCATTGGATAGCACAATTTTTGCTATATATAGCAGGATATGCTACATATAGCAGTGTTATATAGTACTTTTGAAAAGTAACTTTTTCTACTTCTAGCAAATGTTATATAACATTGCTAGATGTTACACAAATATGTTAAACAGTACGTTTTGCTACATAGTGTAAACCCGGCTTTAGTTATGTGTTTTACTTAATAACCCACCTAGTGAGACTCATGAGTTAACAATTAAAGATGGCTTATGGAGAAGAGGTGATGAAGAAAAGTAAAGTTTATGAGTGGCACAAACGTTTTCGTGAATGCCATGAAAGCATTGACGATGACTCGTAGTGGACGTCCTTCAACAGCAGTCAATGACGTAAACATTAAGCAAGTACCACAAGTTGTGCGTGAAAATCGGAAATTAACAATCGATGAAATTGTACTCCTCAATTTTTACGCCATTGACTGCTGTTGAAGGACCTTACTATAAGGGTCATCGTTAATGCTTTTACGGCCTTCACGAAACTGTTTGAGCTACTCATAAATTTAATCTTTTCTTCATCGCGTCTTCTCCTCTCCATAAGCTTGTGTTAACAACTCAAGAAGAGTCTCACTAGGTGGGGTTTTAAGTAAAACACTGAACTTAATGTTTGCATACTGTTTGTGAAATGCCATATTTTTTAATGCACATGACCAACAGTAATCGACAATGAACACTTGCAGGTACAAGAAAACCACTTTCTAATGCTAGACTACGACTATACTCCGAACGACCAAAATGCCCTCCCCAGGAGTCGTACCAACTACACTGTTATATCATTGAGTCAATGGTTATAAGTATATTCAGACAATATGCTACAATGCTTTGAAGGTGGTCGGTTCTCTCAGCATGTTGATGAGAAACTTGGATTGCCCTAGATAAAGCAAGTGACGTCTCCTATATAACTACTAATGTCCATCATAAACTCTATACTCATACTTCTGTACAGAACAGAAACCAGGGCAGTTCCCATGAAGACCAAACAAGGTTTAATCGAGATGAACTTTTTTTCTAACATGGGTCTCTTCTACCTTAACATACATACCAAGTTTCGTAAAGATCGGTTGAAAATATTAAAAGATAAAAATGTTTATGTAAAAAATACAAAATGGCGGATATCTGGTTAACGAAGCGATTTTGGAAAAAATGTTATTCTTGATTTTCTCTTTATTTTGACCCAAGGAATCACTAGGTAATATGTCCCCACCTTTTTTGAACACCCTGTATAGATAGAAGATAGATATGAATTTTTGTTAAACAGTGTCACAAGCAAATTTGGGATTTATTTCTCATACTCAGAATTAAAATAAGCCTGTAAGCAACTCCCTTAGCGCGATAGCTTGAGCAAAAATGATCCAATTTTGATGAAATTTGGTAAAAACGTGTAAACCTACGTACGTTTATTCGAACGAGTTTGCGAACCAGCATGATCGGACTATGGGAACGGGGGTTTATGGGGGCTTAATGGGGTAAAAATTGGTTTTCCAATTTTTGACTCTAAAATTTCTTTCTGGACCATTTTGTAGAGCTTAAAAAAATAATTAATTTTGTATATTGAAGTGTTGTTATGCCGATCAATTGCGGAGATAATTAAAAAAAAAACACTTTGAATTTAAAATTCCCATCTTATTTGTAGGGAGAATAAATAAACAGTTGTAGGTTGCTTGTTTATGGATATTTTAATCATTTGGCAATTTTGTTTATTTCATACTAAGCTATCAACATTTCAATAAAAACACGCCTCCTCTTTGTTAGCTAGTGTTGACAGTGGTCAATCACTACTGTCGGGGAAAAAAGTTTAGACACTCGAGTTTGGAGCTCTACAGAATAGTAACGAAACTAACTTAGAAAAACACGTAGTATATATAAATTTTCGTTGTTTTATTCTACGTATTCCTGTGAAAACAAAAATTTTTTAGCTCGTTTAGGAAATTTTTTATGGCAGTCGGAAGCTAAAAACTCCCTGTTTTTAGAGTATCAAAACCCATCTTATGACTTTGAAAATTCGCACAATGTAAACTAAACGTCAGAACTTTATCAAACTTTAATACAATATAGATACATATATAATGAACTAATTTGTGAAGTTTCAGAATTTTTACTCTACCCAAAAAGTTTTTGTTGTAACTTTTGTAAATTAACTTTTTCTCAAAAACGGCAAACGCTAGGAAAAAATTGAAAAGCTTGTTTTGAAGGGGATTGGTTTTTGTATTTGAAATATTGATAATGCTCAACCAAGTTGTGACGCATGTTATTGATATAAATTAACAAAAAACTGGCTGATCTCGCGCCTGCAAGGGGTGCAAACGCCATTGCCCGCGCAGGAATCCAGTGCAGTGTTGCCACGATGGA